CGTTGGCAGAACGCTAGGACCCCCAGTGCTACCGGCACCCCCAGCACTATCCTCCCGGGAGAAAAAGGCACAGGACCAGCTAGACCAGGCCTGCCTGGCCCTCTCCATCGCCCTCCTAGATCATACCCTGAAGGGGGATCTCTTTGAAAGCACCCTGGTTGCCTTCCTGGCGGTGCTAGGGGTGGACCCTGCGCGCCAGACATTCTGGGAGCCCTGTGCCTATACTAGTTACCTGTCTGGGCTAGTTAAGATGGCCCAGATGCTGGTGGCCCTGCAGGCAGTCCATCTGACTAAGACTGGTGAGGTCAGCCACCCAGCAGACGCCCTGGATGAGATGCGCGAGCGCTTCCTGCTGTATGGGGTGCGCGCCCCCTTTAGCTGGATCACACGGCTGCGCACATACAGGAAGAAGATCCAGAACAGCACCACTAGCCTGGGCTATATCTACTGGAGTGATGATGAGCAGACCCTCAGCTATAAAGACCTGCGGCTCAGCATGCAGGGGCTACGCCAGTTCATTGCCAGCCAGGTGCAGCTAGCCCAGGCAGACCTTGCACGGCTCTTCCTACTCCATGAGGAGGAGGTGTGGGAGGAGGTAGTACCCCAGCTGGTGCTGCACAAGCTGCAGGATGATCCCACTAACAACCAGCAGGGCTGGAACTTCCTGCGGGACCAGCGTACCCGGGCAGCCCTGCCTACCACAGGGGAGTGGTGGCTGCTAGACTGCGTGCTAGGGGCAGACTGGCTACGGGAGGAGTTCCTACAGCTACACTAGATTGGCCAGCAGGACCAGGTGCTGTGGCAGGAAGGTGTAGTGAACCACTACCTACAGCAGGCCAAAGCATTCCTAGAGCACCTACTTCTATTAGTCTATATCACTGGGGGGCAGCCAGGCCGGGCCACAGAGCTACTCAGCCTGCGCCATAGTAATACCCTGCATGGCCGCCACCACAATGTATTCATTGAGCATGGGCTCGTGAGCACGGTCACTATGTACCATAAGGGGTATTCCATTGATAACACCACGAAGATCATCCACCGGTATCTGCCGAAGGCTGTCAGTGAGCTAGTGGTCTACTATCTGTGGCTAATCCTGCCCTTCTGCCAGGCACTGCAGAAGCTGGTCCATGGGCAGAAGGGCCCAGCATCCGCCTTCCTATGGCCTGTGGGGGATGGGAGCTGGGATAGTAGCCAGCTGCGCAAGGTCCTCCAGCGTAAGGCACAGACCCATCTACAGACCAAGATGAATATCCTGTCCTACCAGCACGCAGCTATCGCCATCTCCCGTGTACACCTGAAATGCGGGGGGTTCAAGCGGGACTATGGGGCAGATGATGCGGCCTTTAATGAGCAGGCTAGCCATGGGTCCTGGATCGCAGGCACAGTGTATGCGCGGGGGCTACAGGAGGCACCAGGCCATGTAGAGGCACGGCGGCGCCAATACCGGGCCATCAGTCGCGAATGGCATGGGTTCCTAGGCTTTGAAACCTACCTAGGGCCCCGCAAGCGGCCTGCAGGGGGTGATCCTGAGGTAGGGTGGTCAAAGAGGCAATGTATCATGGTGGAGATGGACTATGATTAGGGGGGGGGTGGGGAATGGGGTATGGAATCAAGTGAGGAATTACAGGAGGAATTAAGTGAGTAATTAAGGATGAAGTCAAGCATGAAAATCAGCATGGAATCAAGCAAGAAATTGAGGAAGAAAACAAGCATGGAATCAAGCATGGAATTGAGTGAGGAATTAAGCATGAAATTGAACTTGGAATCATATATAACATCAAGCATGTGACATTGACCAGGGCATTAATGGAGGAATTGAGTATGCAATTAAGTATGCAATTAAGTATGCAATCAAGTATGGAATTAAGTATGGAATCAAGTATGGAATTAAGTATGGAATTAAGTATGGAATCGAGTATGCAATTGAGTATGGAATTAAGTATGGAATTGAGTATGCAATCGAGTGTGGAATTAAGTATGGAATTAAGTATGGAATTGAGTATGACATTAAGTGGCATCAAGCATGGTAGGGAGGATGACTGGACCAGCCCAAAATATGGGATGACCGCCCGGCAGCGCAAGAAATGGCGGCAGCTGTGGCAGCTAGCTAGCCAGGCCCCAGGCTGCCCTATCCCACAAGGGTTGGGAACTGTACTAGAGTTCCGTTAGGGTTTTAACTATATTAGGTATAGTAGCTATCTTGGCATGGTACAGTTCCGTTCTTTTCCTTAGGTATAGGGCTGCTACCAAATCAAGATAGAATTTATTGAAATTTTGGTAGCCTTTTAATTCTGGTATAAAGTCTAAGATAGTAAAATTTCAATGGGAAATTCCTTTCTTTAGGTGTGTTATAGCTGCTCCTTTTTTCCAGCCTTATATGATGGGGTTTACTAAGCTGCTGATTAGATAAGGTAAGCATACCAGCTGCATAATTCAGGGGCTCATTCAGTATAAGATTATAATCTTATCATCCTAAATCTGTATCTGAATAGATAAGATCTTTATTCTGAATTAATTTCCTATTATGGAGCATCAGTTCTTCCTAAAATTATCCCAGTTCCCAGTTATTATATGCCGGATATGCCGCCATGGTGTCTGGCCTAGTGAGGTTAGTAGCCATCTACAGGGGAAGAATCATCATCTCCCACAGGCAACCGCGAAGCAGGTTCACAAGGCCATTCAGGGGTGGGATGGCATTGAGCATGATCCCCTAGCTATTCAATGGCCAGCTAGTCTATCCCACAAGGGGGCGGCGACTGTACTTGACACCGAGCTAGGGTTTAGCCCAGAGCGGTTTAGCGGCCGGGGTATGGGGGTAGGGACCAACGAAACCGTCTGGGGTATAATCGTCGCGCCAGATAGAGTCGTATGCATTTCAAATTTTGGCAGGTTACTGGTTAGCCAGTTTCACATAATCTGACCAAATTTCAATGGGGAATTCGATGATTTGCAGCTGTAGTAAGGGTGTGGTTAATGTACGGAATTTTGATGTGGTTTGAGTTGCCGCTAAACAGTGAGAATCTGGAAAGCACTGCCCATGACCACCACCATGGCTCCAGGGGAGGTTGGAGGCAGTTTAAATTTAGCCAGCTCACTGATATACTAGTTCCAAGTAATCCAGCTAAATTTCAGTATCAAAATCAATGATTTGCAGACATGGTGAGGGCATATTTGACCCCCAGGATTTGGTGTGGTTTGAGTTCCTGCGGATAGAAAAAGCAATGCCCACAAATCAAACATTCAGGGGCTGAATCCCATCATTATTCAGATAATCAGTTAAATAGTATTATATTCATCCAAACCAGCCATTAAGAATGGAACAGCAGTTATTCATTAAGCTTTCCCAGCCACTAGTCATTATCTGCCGGTCCTGCTGCCATGGGGTGTGGCCAGCTAAGGTAGAAAGCCATCTCTGGGGGAAGGCCCATTGATTACCCCAGGCCACTGCAAAGCAGATCCATCAGGACGTCCAGAGCTGGGAGGGTGTGGAGCATGACCCCCATGCTGTGCAATGGCCTAGTCGGATTACCCAGTCAATCCCCCACCTGGATGAATACCCTAATGGGTTACTGTGCCAGCGCGACCAGGCCAGATGCTAATTCATCACTCATTCACTTGACACGTTAAAATGACATTGGCGTGAGCACCATGGATGGACCGCACCATATCATGGGGGCCGATCCCGCCCATGGGAGCAAGAACAGGCGCGGATTGCGATCCAGCAAGGATATCAGGTGGTGACCTGCCAGCAGTTTTTCCCAACCTGAAAAGGGTCCCATTATATCTGGGTGCCATGCCCCAACCAGCAGCCTGAGGAGCAAGCCCGGACCGCACCCACTGCCCACATCCAGGCCACTGTTGATGCTGTGATCCAGGCATGGGAGCAGGTCCAGGCCCAGGCCAAGGCCGATCAGGCTATCCAAGCCAGCCAGTTGACTGACGCGAACCCCTGGCTGCGGATGACTCAGTGGGCCGACTACCTGCAGGGCATCCAGGCATGTGACCTGCTTGCTAGCATGGCAGCCCCGGAGGAAGACCCCATGGATGCCACTGAGCAGGGGGTGCAGGTGATCTGGGATACTGTTCCCCAGGGGTTGAACCGTCCTGCCCTCGATGGGCTTGCGCGCCCCCTGATTGGTCCATTGCCCTGGCTCCCCCCTCGTATCCACCGCGCGTGCTCCCGGTGCGTGCGTGCGTGGGGATACAGCCCCCTGATATGGTGCTGCCCATGTTTCCTACCTCGGCACTCTAGATCCATACCTTCGCCCTGATATAATCACTAATCACTAACTAATCACTTTACTGTGTGAATTAGCTTCCTAGCTTGTGTTTCAGGTCGCGTTTCCAAGGTCGCGTTTCCAAGGTCGTGTTTCCAGGTCGTGTTTCTAGGTTGTGTTTCTAGGTCGTGTGTTTCCAGGTCATATTTCCAGGCCGTGTTCAGTGTTCCCAAGGTCCACCTATCCAGGTTATGTTTCTATGTCGCATACCTAATATATCCTAACTAGTAGTGATCTAGTTTCACCTCTATTCTCCTCTTACTGTATATATCCTCCTCTCCTTTTAAATGGACCTATTTCTCTACAATCCCACCTACCAGGTCTGGATCTGCACCGCACCTCGCTGCCAGTATGCCGTCTCACCCCGGACCCTACTGGGCCACCTCCGCACCCACCACCGGTCCCATCCTACTGTGGCCACGCCTGCTCTCTGTCAGGCGGTGCTGACCGAGATGCTCCAGCGGCCATGGGCAGACCCGAGCCAGGGGACCCCCCCGTGCCAGGCCTGCCAGTGTACCAGGGGCGCGGGTGCCCCCACTGCCCCTACATCTGCCGGGCCCTGGCCGGGCTTCAGGACCACCGTGCCCGGAAACATAAGGACCAGGATGGATACTGGGGCCAGGGTAAACTTTCAGCAGCTCGGGCCCAGGCCCGGGCCCAGGCCCGCCTGGCAGATCGTGTGGTTAGCTGCCAGCGGTTCTACCGTGCTGGGCCAGGGAGCCATTTCTTTGAGGTGACCTGCGCTGCCCAGCCAAGCCAGCAGGCCCTGCTAGCCGCCCCCCAGACCCCTGCTGAGCGCATCCGCGCTCATATAGACCAGGCCCTGCGGGAGGCGGAGGCGGCAGCTACGCTAGTAAATGGCCAGGTCCCTAGCCTAGAAGGCCACCCAACTGAGGTCTCTCCCTGGCTGGAGCTGACCCGCTGGCCAGAGTACCTACGCGGGCAGGATCTAACTGCAGTGGCCCTGCTCGGATGCCCAGCGGACCCAGTGCAGGAGCCCCTGCTTGCCCTATTCAGTGCTAGTGTCGAGCGGCTGATCTGGCAGGCCTACCAGACCATCCGGAGCGGCCAGATCAATGAATTTGACCAGGTCCAGATCAATACCTTCTTTCGCGAGCCCGGGGTCTGGAACCGGCCCATCCAGATCCACCTCCGGCCGAAGACCTATCGCCAGTACTGCCAGGTCTGGCAGCGGCTGGTCTGCTTCGCCTACCGCAGCACCAGACCCGACCAGCCCATCCAGCTGCGCCACCAGCTGAACACCACCCAGCTGGCCGCGCTGGACCAGATGGAGGAGTATGGCCAGCAGTTCCTAGCCCTGCGCGCCAAGGGGCCAGAGACCCAACTAGCATTAGAGGCATCACAAATCCCGCAGGAATCCGGGGCATCAGGGGCACCACTGCTAGCACCCCCAGCACCCCCAGCACCCCCAGCGCCCCGGGGACCAGCCGAACCCCTAGGGCCCCCAGCACTACCAGCGCCCCCATCACTATCCCCCCCAGAGGAAAAGGCACAGAACCAGCTGGACCAGGCCTGTCTCACCCTCTCTATTGCCCTCCTGGACCATACCCTGAAGGGGGATCTCTTTGAAAGCACCCTGGTGGCCTTCCTTGCAGTGCTAGGGGTGGACCCCGCACGCCAGACCTTCCGGGAGCCCTACAGCTATACCAGTTACCTCTCCGGACTGGTCAAGATGGCCCAGATGCTGGTGGCCCTGCAGGCAGTCCACCTAACTAGGGCCGGTGCGGTCAGCCACCCTGCAGATGCCCTGGATGAGATGCGCGAGCGCTTCCTGCTGTATGGGGTACGTGCCCCCTTTGGCTGGATCACACGGCTGCGCACCTACGGGAAGAAGATCCAGAATAGCACCACCAGCCTAGGCTATATCTACTGGAGTGATGATGAGCAGACCCTCAGCTATAAAGACCTGCGGCTCAGCATGCGGGGGCTACGCCAGTTCATTGCCGGCCAGGTGCAACTAGCCCAGGCAGACCTGGCACGGCTCTTCCTCCTCCATGAGGAGGAGATAAGGGAGGAGATAGTGCCCCAGCTAGCCCTACATAAGCTGCAGGATGACCCCACGAAGAACCAGCGGGGCTGGAACTTCCTGCAGGACCAGCGGACCCGGGCTGCCCTGCCTACCACAGGGGAACGGTGGCTGCTTGATCGTGTGCTAGGGACTGACTGGCTCCGGGAGGAGTTCCTGCAGCTACACCAGATTGGCCAGCAGGACCAGGTGCTCTGGCAGGCAGGGGCAGTAGACCAGTACCTACAGCAGGTAAAAGTATTCCTAGAGCGCCTGCTTCTGCTAGTCCATATGACTGGGGGGCAGCCAGCCCGGGCCACAGAGCTACTCAGCCTGCGCCATAGCAATACCCTCCATGGCCGCCACCGCAATATATTTATTGAGCACGGGCTCGTGAGCACCGTCACCACCTACCATAAGGGGTATTCTATTAATAACACCACCAAGATCATCCACTGGTATCTGCCAAAGGCCGTTAGTGAGCTAGTAGTCTACTACCTATGGCTTATCCTGCCCTTCTGCCAGGCCCTGCAGAAGCTGGTCTATGGGCAGAAGGGCCCGGCCTCTGCCTTCCTATGGCCGGCGGGGGAGGGGAGCTGGGATAGCAGCCAGCTGCGCAAGGTCCTCCAGCGCGAGGCACGGACCCATCTACAGACCAAGATGAATATCCTGTCCTACCGGCACGCAGCTATTGCCATCTCCCACGTACACCTGAAATGTGGGGGGTTTAAGCGGGACTATGGGGCAGATGATGCAGCCTTTAATGAGCAGGCTAGCCATGGGTCCTGGATTGCAGGCACTGTATATGCGCGGGGGCTACAGGAGGCACCAGGCCATGTAGAGGCACGACGGCGCCAATACCGGGCCATTAGTCGCGAATGGCATGGGTTCCTGGGGTTTGAGACCTACCTAGGGCCCCGTAAACGGCCGGCGCAGGATGACCTTAGGGTAGGGCAGCCAAAGCAGCAGTGTATCATGGTGGAGATGGATTATGATTAGGCCCTAGGGATAGAGGGAAGTATTTATTTTAATATAGTATATATATATATATATAAAGGTCTTAATGGATTATGATTAGGCCCTAGGGATAGAGGGAAGTATTTATTTTAATACAGTATATATATATATATATAAAGGTCTCAATGGCATGATATTCAGCATAATAGTAGTGCCATCCTAATACCTCAAGCATTCGATAAGCCACTGCCTATATTACCATCTCATTCTAATGGCCTGCTCTGCCAGCAAGATCCTTATTGCTTATTCATTGCCTCTATCCCACAAGCCATGGACCATCGCTATTCCGATGGGCCTAGGGTGTAGCTAGGGTCTAAATGCTGATTGGTTGGTTTGGACGATGGTTGGGGTCTGATGGGATTGAATTCAAGGGTCCAATGGTATTAGATCCCATGTGTAGCGGGCAGGGCCCGCTGAGTGCTCAGGCTGTTCGATCGAATCATACGGCCCTCGCGAAGTCATATCCAAACTGGACACCAGCTGCCGGTCACGTGACTTTGTACCAATCAATGTAGTAATCTGTCCGGTCACGTGACCGTGAGAACCATTCGCACACTCCTTTTATGTTTGGCCGCCGCGGCCCTAGCTAGATTTCTCCCTTAGCGATTTCTTACCGTCCAAACCTAGGTCATAGGTTCCTAAGGCTTCTAGCCTGTGACACCATGGCCTTGATGGGCTAAAAATTTAGTAGATTATAGAGACACCACTTATCTATTATATTTCCTAAGGAACCCTTCCAATTCCCTATTATAGTGGTGTGGTGTGAATATAAAATCTACTAGTATAACACCATCATATTTAGTGGGGTATCTAAATTAGTACCCTTCTATCCCTGTATGTTGATAATTCAGGGGTAATATTACAATCCCACCTCTTTATTTTCAGTAATCATCATGGCATAACTATTATTTCTATCATCCAGAAGATTTGCATCATGGAATATGATTTATTTTATAAGGTATCTACCTTAGGCATTCTTATTTGCCGTCACTGCAAGTATGGGGTGTGACCTATTGAAGTTGAACAGCACCTTAAGAAAAAGCATGGTATAAAGCATGGCATTGCTACCTAGGTGGCCCAGGCTATTTCTTAATGGGAGGATATCACCTGGGACAGTGCTATCTCCCTACCACATACCCTATCCCACAAGGGGTGGACGTCTGGACGTCCAGACGTTCTAGGGTCGATGGTTTGATTGGTCAGAAATTTAGGGGTTCATGTCCAGTTATTCTAAATGGTTTTACATCCAGTCAGAGTTTATATCATCCATTTCACACACTGAAAATTTGAGAGATTACTCTCCTACATCCATACTATACCCTTCTCATTTTGCTCAATGAGATTCAATCTAGAAAGGATGTTTTAGTGATGTGAAAATACCACTGTATCTACTCCTAAACTTTGGTAGGGTGCTATAGTGCCGCCCCTTACCGCCCTACTAACAGCAAGAGGCTGCAGCCCGCGGCTAATATATGATTTTCTCATGCTCAGGGGTAAATCGAAAGTGCTATATTATTATTTTATCATTAATTCTATCCAAAGGCCTAATATTCATCTCTAATGGAGAATCAAATCTTTGAGAGAGTTCCCACCCTGCGAATTATTATCTGCTGGCAATGCCACCATGGGGTTCAACCCCAGGAGGTGCTCCGGCATCTACAGTCTAAACATCAGATGAAGAGAGGAGATGCTATCACTATTGCAGATGTAATTCAACAATGGGATGATATTGAGCAGGATTCTCAGGCTATCACTATCCCACTGGTATTAGACTATCCTCTACCTATCCTTCCATGCCTGCTAAATGGGTTACTATGCCAGTGAGCATACCCTCAGTGCTAGTATGTGGCTACTAGCCTAGAAACCATGCGGCGCCATTGGCGGACCCATCACCAATGGTCCCAGCAGAATGGCCGGGGTCGGGTCCAGGCCTATAAGAGGGATCAGGGGGCTGTTGAATTACAGCAATCCTTTTAATGTGTTTCATAGCAGCAGGTATTCCCCTCCCGAAAAGGGTCCCACTATATCCATATTCGCTATCCAGATGGGGTCCCCCCACCCCCATCTACGCAGGGCGTGCAGGCTGCGGTGGATGAGGTGGTGCAGGCCTGGGAGCAGGCCCAGGCCCGGGCCAAGGCTGATCAGGCCATCCAGGCCAGCCAGTTAACTGACGCGAACCCCTGGCTGCGCATGACAAGGTGGGCTGACTATCTGCAGGGCATCCAGGCCCATGACCTGCTAGCCTGCGTGGCAGCCCCGGAGGAAGACCCCATGGATGCCACGGAGCAGGGGTTGCAGGTGATCTGGGACACCATGGAGCAGGTGGCCCGGAAGAGCCAGCAGACAGTCCAGCAATGTGGCCAGGCCATCTGGATGGAAGCTGTCCGGTCCGAAAAGGGGCAGACCCCGTACCGGCCCCTGCTAGTATATATGGATGAGACAGCAATCAAGAAGCACGTGCAGCCATGGCAGCAGATATTAGCATTCATTACCCGGACCCAGGCCCCGCACGATTGGGCCAGCCCCCGATATGGGATGACTGCCCGGCAGCGCCAGAAATAGCGGCAGCTGTGGCAGCTAGCTAGCCAGGCCCCAGGTAGCCCCGACCCCCAGGGCAGCCAGGGCAGCCAGGCCACTGTTCCAGGGGACCTGGAGAACCTCGAGGCATGGGTCATGACTGCTATAGAAAAGGCATGCTTAGAATTTTGCATTGAGCTGCTAAACCAGCGCCATCGCAGCCATGAATATGAGAGTGCACTGGTATGCGCCATGGCTGTGCTGGGCCAGGGTGAGGCGGGCTGGCGCGACCCTGAGAGCTACCCCCCGATATTATCCTGCGTGATCAAGGTGGCCCGATTCATGGTGGTGCAGAAGGCCTATCCCATAAGGGTCGGGAACTGTACTAGAGTTCCGTTAGGGTTTTAACTATATTAGGTATAGTAGCTATCTTGGCATGGTACAGTTCCGTTCTTTTCCTTAGGTACAGGGCTGCTACCAAATCAAGATAGAATTTATTGAAATTTTGGTAGCCTTTTAATTCTGGTATAAAGTCTAAGATAGTAAAATTTCAATGGGAAATTCCTTTCTTTGGGTGTGTTATAGCTGCTCCTTTTTTCCAGCCTTATATGATGGGGTTTACTAAGCTGCTGATTAGATAAGGTAAGCATACCAGCTGCATAATTCAGGGGCTTATTCAGTATAAGATTATAATCTTATCATCCTAAATCTGTATCTGAATAGATAAGATCTTTATTCTGAATTAATTTCCTATTATGGAGCATCAGTTCTTCCTAAAATTATCCCAGTTCCCAGTTATTATATGCCGGATATGCCGCCATGGTGTCTGGCCTAGTGAGGTTAGTAGCCATCTACAGGGGAAGAATCATCATCTCCCACAGGCAACCGCGAAGCAGGTTCACAAGGCCATTCAGGGGTGGGATGGCATTGAGCATGATCCCCTAGCTATTCAATGGCCAGCTAGTCTAGCTCAATCAATCCCTGAGCTGGATGAGTACCCAGATGGGTTACTATGCCAGCATGCACCTATGCAATGCCACTATGTCACAAGATCAATCAAAACCATTAAGCGACATTGGCGTGAGCATCATGGGTGGAAGGTCCTATATAAAGGGGGCCGACCTAATCACCATGAGCAGGAACAGGCCCAAACTATGGTCCAACAGGGGTTCAAGGTAGTGACCTGCCAGCGGTTTTTCCCTTCGCGAAAGGGGTCCCACTATATCTGGGTTCGAAGCCCTGAGCCCCTGGCTAGGCCAGCAGGCCCTATCCCACAGGGGGCGGCGACTGTACTTGACACCAAGCTAGGGTTTAGCCCAGAGCGGTTTAGCGGCCGGGGTATGGGGGTAGGGACCAACGAAACCGTCTGGGGTACAATCGTCGCGCCAGATAGAGTCGTATGCATTTCAAATTTTGGCAGGTTACTGGTTAGCTGGTTTCACATAATCTGACCAAATTTCAATTGGGAATTCGATGATTTGCAGCTGTAGTAAGGGTGTGGTTAATGTATGGAATTTTGATGTGGTTTGAGTTGCCGCCAAACAGTGAGAATCTGGAAAGCACTGCCCATGACCACCACCATGGCTCCAGGGGAGGTTGGAGGCAGTTTAAATTTAGCCAGCTCACTGATATACTAGTTCCAAGTAATCCAGCCAAATTTCAGTATCAAAATCAATGATTTGCAGACATGGTGAGGGCATATTTGACCCCCAGGAGTTGGTGTGGTTTGAGTTCCTGCGGATAGAAAAAGCAATGCCCACAAATCAAACATTCAGGGGCTGAATCCCATCATCATTCAGATAATCAGTTAAATAGTATTATATTCATCCAAATGAGCCATTAAGAATGGAACAGCAGTTATTTATTAAGCTTTCCCAGCCACCAGTCATTATCTGCCGGTCCTGCCGCCATGGGGTGTGGCTAGCTGAGGTAGAAAGCCATCTCCGGGGGAAGGCCCATCGATTACCCCAGGCCACTGCAAAGCAGATCCATCAGGACGTCCAGAGCTGGGAGGGTGTGGAGCATGACCCCCATGCTGTGCAATGGCCTAGTCGGATTACCCAG